ATATGGTTACGAACGGCCGTTATAAATTAGATGGTTTAAGCCAGATAGGACTTTTTTTACGCCGAGACGTAAATCAGGGGCTCTCGGGCACGGCAGGGCTGTAAATCTGCCCGCTGTGCTCCCGCGCCCGCCGTGCCAGAGCTGTTTCTGTTCCGCCTGCTAAACTCCTGTTTACCCGGGGCCATCAGCATTGCTCTTCCTCGCTGTAATTCTGCGCTCCACGGCAGCCTATAAAATGAACCCACTTATTTCCTTCCTGATCCCGGAGCCTGAAATCTCCTGTGTTTCTGGAGCTGTGCCCTGCCTCCTGCCCCAAAGCCAGGCCTTGCTGTCTCCATCTCTGGCTTCAGGGAGCCCCTGGCTTGCAGGTTGAGCTATGTGCGTGCAGATTATGTCTCAAAAATGGAGCAGACCATAGGATGGGGTTTCACCCATGCCAGGGTACATAGGCAGTGGGTGCTGGAGGGGTTCAGTGCCTTCCAGTGCACTTCCATCTCTCCAGCACCCAAAAACTCACTGCCCTTTGCTGACCTCTTGCTTTCTTCCACCTTGACCCACTCCTCTGGCAGTGATGGTGACTCAGATGTGGACTCGGAGCTGGAGGAGCGTGTGGATGGGGTGAAGTCTTGGCTCTCCAAGAACAAAGGCTCCTCCAAAGCGCTCTCGGATGATGGCAGCCTGAAGGGCAGCAGGTGGGTGCAGAGCTGGGCATGGGGCTGAGGACAGGCTGAGCTGTGCTGGGACATGGATAGAGCTGGGTGGGTGCCTGTGGATGTGGCATTTGGTGCTGTGTTCCCACGTGGTGCTTGTGTGGATGGCCAGGGAAGGGTTAATGCTGGTGAGCGGCTCAGTCTTCACTGGGGACACGCGTCCCCCCACCCAGGGGGAACTCCCTGGTCCCCTTCCTTCATCCCACCAGGGAGGCCTATGGGGCATCCACAGCCCCAAGCCCATCTGCCTCCCCAGGGCTTGCAGTGCTGGGCTTTAGCTCTAGCTCTGTGCAGCATTCCATCTCTCCAGGACTGATTCCCTGCTCCATCCTGCCCTCCTCTGCAGCCCCACCCCATCCCTCCCCACACTTCTCAGAAAACGTTGGCAGGGGTGGGGAACGTGCCCAGGTGCACCCACGGCATGAGGCTGCGGCACACAGCCCCACTCCCCCTTGGAAAACGCTTTCCTGCTGAGTGCAGATTGCTTTTATCCAAACCCAATTTCCTAGCAGGGCTCCAGGAGTCCCAGGGGACTCCCTCCCTCTGCCGAGCAGGGGGGAAAGATCTGAGCTGGTTTCTGTTAATTGGTTTAATTTATTCAGCGGTGCAGATGTAAAACATTTTGTTATTGGAGATAATTCCACCTTTTCTGAAGTCGGGAATCAAACGCAGAGCGGCTCCAGGTAGCCGACAATGAAATAAATTGAAGGCAACGCTTTAAAGGGGAATCAAAGTGCTGGGCTAGAACAATTCCCCCATTTACATGACATTTTTTTCCACGATGCCGTTTCACACCTCGCCGGCCCCTCCTTCACCCGCTCACCTCGTGTCTCTCTTGTCTCCCCGGTGCGTGCGGGCCGCGGTGCCGCCGCAGGTCCGAGCCCGAGGAGCGGCCGCTCTCGGTGTTGAGCTCCCTCAGCTACAGGAAGCGGCCGGGCCTCAAGGACTCCATAGGCGGCCACGGGGATGAGCAGACGCTGTTCAGCGCCCTGAGCGAGCGGCCGCCTTCCCCCGAGCGCCCTCCGCGCCGGGCGGCCCGCGGCACTGAGCCCCGGGACCGGGCGGCCGTCATCGCCCGCGCCTTCGCCGACGCCACCGGCCGGGCTCGCCAAGGGCTGGACAAGCGGTGGTCCCTCTCCGCCACCGACGTAGAGAAAGCCTCTGTCGCCTCCGCCCCGGTGAGCCGCGTCTCCTCCGCCTCCTGGCGCGGGCTGGAGGATGGCGATGATGGGGACGAGGGATGCTCGGTGCTGAGCTTCGCCCTCTCCAGCCCCGGCAGCTTGCGGAGCCGGCGCGGGGGCCCCGAGGGCCGCCCCGAGTCGCGGCTTTCCCTGGCCCGCAGCCGCCTGGATGAGGCAGACGAGGGGAGCCGCGGGCAGCCGCTCTTGGGGCGCAGCTTCTCCGTGCCCCCGCGGCCCCGCAGCGCGGCCTCCGAGGAGGAGGAAGGTCCTGGGGATGCTCATCCCGTGCGGCACCGCTCCTACCTGGACCCTGACCTGGAAGCCGCCATCCAAGAGGTGCTGAGCTACCGCCCGCCGCAAGCCAGGGGCTACTCCAGCCCCGACTCGGGGGACGACGGTCGCAGTGTCCGCAGCGTCAGGAGTGTCCGGAGTGCGGCCCCGCTGGGCGCTGCTGACCGCCCCTCCGGCAGCCTGCGCCGCTCCGCGTCCGCCCTCGACTTCTCCCGGCACACCTGCCGCTGCCGCAGCAGCTCAGGCTCCTCTGAGGAAGAGGAGGAGCAGAAGAAGAAGAGCTCCAAGAAGCGCGCCAAGAAAAGCAAGAAGAAATCCAAGAAGAAGAAGAAGAAGAAGCAGTCCTCATCCGAGTCCAGTTCCTCCTCCGAGTCCTCCTCCGGCTCCACCAGCTCCTACCGCAGCACCTCCAGTGTCAAGAAGGGCCCGCGGGGGGCGGGCAGCGAGGAGCCGACACGTCCTGCCCGGGAGAAGAAGGAGGAGAAGCAGCGGAAAAAGCAGGTGGACAACCTGATGATGAAGTACCTGTACCGCCCCGAGAGCGACTGAGGCAGGAGGTGGGAGCGGTGTGTGCCGTGCAGCATGAGCCTCCCCGTGTGCCACTAACCGCTCGCCCTAACCCTCTCCTGCCTCCGGAGTTCTGCTCCGCCGGCATGGGGCACCCCGGGATGGGGCAGCCCTCTGTGCCTGCAGCAGCCCCGCTTGGGGCATCTCCATCCGTGGGGAGATCCCCGGCATGGCCGCAGCGGGACCGGCAGCTGCCCGTGCTGCCAGGACGCAGCGTGGTCGGGATTAGCAGCTGTGGGACACCAGGAAGAGCTAATCCCTTCCTGGCTCCCCAGCCATCGGGCAGGACACATCTGGATTTATTCCTCCAGGAAATTTGTAAGGGTTTGATGGGCACAGCCCCCAGGAGCAGAGGGGAGTGGGATGGGTACTAACATGGACCCACTGAAGTGTGTGAGCATGGGGAAGGCAGCACCCATGGTTGGGGGGACCAAGGTTGGGCTGCTGGAGCTCAGAGTTGCCCTGTGACCTGTGTTGGGTGCCTGTGATGGGAATTTGGAGTGTGAATGGCGTCAGCCTGCAGGACTCTGGAGCTCTGCACACTGTTTGATGCAGAGAGGGTGTGTTTGGGCTCGCTGGCAGCATTTTCTGATGGCTGAATAGGAGAGTGGCTGGAGGAAGGGAAAGAAGCCTTTTGGAAATGTGGTTGCCTTGGGCTGTCTGTCCCAGAGGAAGGGAAGACATCATGGGAGCAACACCCCCAGCCCTGGGCTCGGGTACAAGCAGGACCCTCAGGGTGTCTGGGAGCACTGGTGTTGGCATTCAGGGCCACCAGCCTTTTCCTGGGCAGGCTCAGCTCGGCCCCACTGCAGAGCAGGGGCTCAGCTCAGCGCAGTGAGGAGTTGTTTGCAGTGAGGCATGTCCCAAATATCTCGGAAAGAATAAAAAAGGAGGCAATCAAGGCTCCATCCAGCTGGCTGCCAGCGTGCTGGCTCACCGCAGCTCCTGCTGCAGCCGGAGGGGAGTTGAGCTCAGCAGCCAAGCCATGCTGGGACATGGAGCCCCTCATCACCCCCCTAACCCTGCTCTCTCCCACAGCCCCACGAGCTCCCGGCACACCTTCACCTACGACAGATGGGACGATGAGCAGGACGCCGGGGACAGCACACGTCGCTCCTCCCGCAGCTCCCCCAGTGCCAGCGAGGCGGAGAGCCGGGCTGCCGAGACCCCCGCCTAGCCCCCCACCACCGCTTCCCACCGCCCCGGGAACACTCGGCACAGTCGGTATTTCTTCTGCACGGGGTGGGGGGGACACACACAGCCACCCCCCCGGCTCCAGCCACGGGAGGAGCAGCCCGGCCGGCTCGCTGGCTGCACCCCCCACCCTCCCACCCACCTCCTGTCTGTCCTTGGTGGCGGAGTCGGCTGCTCCGGCACCCGGGATTTATTCCTCAGTGCCTGCTGGCACCTTGTTTTATAACTTAAACTCCCCCCTTCGGCACCCTGCCGTCCTCTTACTCCCCTTTTAGTTGAGCCAAAGACGTCTCTCGCTGGCCGGGCCCTGGGGAGCAGCCACCTGGCAGCTGGGGAGGGGACATGGGGAGAGGGTCCCATGTTCCCACCTGGGTTTTTGTGACCCCCCAGCCCCCCACCTCTGCCTGGCTGTTTTGCACTAGCCCAGCTGTGCATTTCCCCCACCCCCTTTACTTTCAGTATGAAAATAAACGTCATTTCTGGCTGGTGATAGTGGCTGCTGCCTGCTCCGTGTGCCTGGGGGGTCTCCCCGTTTTGGGGGGGGGGTGTTTGCATGGTGGAAGGGTCTGATGGAATGCATCCAGCCCCAGCAAGGATTCAGGGCTTCATGGGAAGGCCAAATCTGGCCTCTTCCCTGAGCCTGCTGCACCCATGGGTGCTGGGGAGGGGAGCAGGGTGGGGGGAAGCCCTCCTGGGTGCCAGTGCTGAATCATTTATCAATCTTCATAAATATGCAGATGAGCAGCGGGACAGAGCCTCTGCCTGCTGGTGTTAAATAATTAACGCGGAGGAGATGATGATGTGCATTGCTGGCTGCCTGCACGGCTCAGCCTCAGCCTGGCCCTGTGCTGTCCCCGTGCCATGTGCTGTGCCCCACACCTGGCCCCGGGGACACCCTGCACCCTGGGGACCCCCTCCCTCCCTGGCAGGCTGTTTCCCTTTCCCCACTATCTCTTGGAAGCACACAGGCCAAGCCCGGTGCTCGCTGCCATAAAGCCACGCTGCGCTAATGCGCTTTCATTAAGTGGGAGCGATCTAATGATAATAAAATGGCACATTTAACATTAAAACATTTAACTTGACTCCTAAGCGAGTGTGTCTCTCCGCGCTGCTCCTGCTCCATCTTCATGAGGCTGACAAAGCTTCTTAATTTGTTCCCCAGGAGTGGGCGCTTGGTAGCGATGGCTTGGCACCGCGTGGCATGGGGGTGCTGGGATGCTGCCATGTGGGGAGGCAGGTACCAGGATGCAGGGATGTGGGGAAGCAGGGTACCAGGATGCTGCCATGTGGGGAGGCAGGGTACCAGGATGCAGGGATGTGGGGAAGCAAGGGTGCAGAGGTGCTGGGATGGTGGATATGGGGACATGGCAATGCAGGGCATCGGGGGTGTGGGGGTTGGAGGAATGCAGCACGTTGGGAGTCCCCAGGGTACACAGAGATGGAGGTGTGCTGTGCGTGAGGACACTGGGATGCAGGGACACAGCTGCAGGCCAGTGTGATGCCATGGGGGCACCTCTGCAGCCCCACACCTACTGTGCAGCCCCAAGCACACCGGGGAAACGACTGATGGCAAAGTGGGCCATGTTGTAGGATGGCTCCTCGCCCAGGCTCAGCTCACACAGCAGCTTCCCCACCACCGGCGCCAGCTTGAACCCATGGCCTGTGGGAAGGAGAGGGAAGGTGGGGACACAACCATCCCCACGAGCCTGGACAGCTCTGGGGTGCTGGGCTGGGGGGGTGGCTGCCCTCGCCTACCTGAGAAGCCGGCACCAATGATGATGTTGCTGAACTTGGGGTGCCGGTCCAGGATGAAATCTTCATCTGGAGTGTTCTGGGGAGCCAGGGAGTGAAGGTGAGGGGACAGGGTGGGGTCCACCTTGGGGTGGAGGAAGGCTGAGGACCCCAGATGCCTGGATCTGAGCCCTGGGGAGGGTCTCACCGTGTAGAGGCAGGTCTCCATCACCGCTGGCTGGGTCTCCAGCCCGGGCAGGTAGCTGCTGATGAAGCTGCTCAGAACGGCGATGTCAGGGCGGGGGGCACTCGAGGGGGCCTGATCCCGCTTCTCTGGGTCAGTGGGGCTGCCGTGGTGGTGGCACACCTGGAGGACAACTGGTCAGGGGGCTGGTTAGGGAATCCCCCACCTTCAGCTGCGCCCTGCTCACCTTCATCAGACCTGGGTACTCAATGGAGGGCAGCCCGTAGATGCCGTGGGGGGCTTGGCTCAGCCCCAGGGTCAGGAAGCAGGGGCTGACACTGCCCAAACCGGCGCTCCCAGCTTGCTTCTCCCTCCAGTAGCAGACATCGATGCGCAGGGGCTGGAATCACTCCATTAGCTCTGGCCACGACTCTGCCACCACCCCATGTGCCACAAACCTTTACCTGCAGTGGCAGGCGGACACCCAGCTGTTCCACCAAGGCACCAGTCCACGCTCCAGCCGTGATGATGAGCCGGGGGGCTTTGTACACGCCAGCAGTGGTGGTGACAGTGACCGTGGCCCCAGGTTGGATGTGCAGCACCTTCTCCCCGTCCCGCAGGGTGCCCCCGTGTCGGCGAAAGACCTCCTGGGTGGGGAGAGTGACAGGAGGTGGCTGCAAGGATAGAGCCAGGGGACCCCCATCCCATCCCAAACCATCCCATGTCAATCTCAAAGCATTCCAGCCCCTCAGCAGCACCTACCTGCACTGCCTGCAGTGCCCGGCCAGCGAAGAGCACCCCGGCAGTGCTGTCCACCACGGCCACCTGGCCAGCTGGCAGCTGGAAGCCAGGGAAGCGCCGGGCCAGCGCTGTGGAGTCCAGGACTTCGTCAACACCCAGGTTCCTCCTGCAGGCCTCCAGCTCTGGATCTCCTGGCAGCCCCAGCAGCACCAGTCCCGTCTGCCTGCATCCCACAGTCAGGTCAGCTCGCCCTGCTCCCCCTCCCTGCATGGACCCCCAGCTTGCTTTGCCCCTGGGGGAAACTGAGGCATGGTGATGCGTGGGATGTGCTACACCCTGGTGCTGGGGCACCACACAGTGGGATGTAGGGGACAAGGGCAGAGTGAGATGTGTGGGGAGGGTCTGGATGCTGACATCACACTCTGCCCCCTAAATACAGCAAGCGCCATCAACCCTGACCCCGGCACAGGCACCGGAGGATCATTTAGATATTCATTTCCTTAATGACATTTCCTTCGTGGAGCCCCATAAATTACCAGGAGCTGGCAGCAGCCTGCCAAGGAAGCTGCATCCCACCCAAAGGTCAGCACCTTCAGACCAGCGAGGAGGGGACGGTGCGGCAGTGGCTGCGTCCCTGTCCCCATCACCTGCAGAGGGTTGTGCTGTCCCTGTCCCCATCACCTGTAGAAGGTGGTGCCATCCCTGTCCCCATCACCTGCAGAGGGTGATGCCATCCCTGTCCCCATCACCTGCAGAGGGTGGTGCCATCCCTGTCCCCATCACCTGCAGAGGTTGATGCCATCCCTGTCCCCATCACCTGCTGAGGGTGGTGACATCCCTGTCCCCATCACCTGCTGAGGGTGGTGCCATCCCTGTCCCCGTCACCTGCAGAGGGTGATGCCATCCCTGTCCCCATCACCTGCGGAGGGTGATGCCATCCCTGTCCCCATCACCTGCTGAGGGTGGTGCCATCCCTGTCCCCGTCACCTGCAGAGGGTGATGCCATCCCTGTCCCCATCACCTGCAGAGGGTGGTGCCATCCCTGTCCCCATCACCTGCAGAGGGTGGTGCCAGTCTCAGCCTCCAGCTGCTGCCAGCGGCGGAAGCAGTCGGGCATCATGCGGGAGTAGTGCTCCTGGGGGTAGGCGCTGCGGATGATGCGGCTCTGCCCGTGAGAGCTGCCCCGAGAGTGGGGCAGGAGGAACTGTGAGGCAGAGAGGACATGGGGGTGACCACAGACACTGCCACCCTCAATGCCACCATGTGCACCAGCGCCCTGCGGCAGAGGGCACCTTGGGGACACAGCCTGTCCTGCCAACCGTGACACCGGGAAACAGCAGGGAACGGGGATCCTGGCGCTGGGGACAGGAGGGTCTTGGCACTAGGGACAGGGGCTGCTGGCACTGGGGACTGCAGTGCCGGCAGTGGCTCTGCTCCGTGCCACGGTGGAGGGCAGCCAGCTCTGCAGGCAGCCGGCCCAGCCTGTTGGGAATGGGGGACATGGCAGAATGGGGTCACCGTACCTGCTCCAGCAGCAGAGTGTCCTTGTGGTGCTGGGCCAGGTGGTAGGCAGTGAAAGAGCCCTGGATGCCGGCCCCAATGACAATGACATCGTAGGTGGACTTCTGGGGCTGGCTGGGGGCAGCCATGGCTCTGCTCGTCCCTGCTGCTGTCTCCGTGGCCGATGGGAGCTGAGCTAAGGGGAGGAACGGGGCAGAGTCCAGCCCAGCCCAGCGGGTGGTGGAGCCTTGGCCACTGCCAGCTCTGTGGGGACACACAGGGGCCACGCTCTTCCTACCCCTTGAGGCTGGCCAGCCACGAATATTCTCATTCCCCACCCAGCACTAACACCTGGTCCCACAGCTCAGTTTATCAGGGTGTCATAGATGTGAAAAAAACCACTTCCAATAATTCCCCCTTTCCACTGGCCACTGCTGACTCCAGCTGTGGTGCGACACAGAGCTTCCATTTGTGTGCCAATGGGAAACCCCCCCTTGCTTCCAGGCAAACAGGGCTTTTTTCCCCTCCAGCACAATTTATTACAGCCATAAACCATTTTGTCGCCGTCTTTTCTTGTTATTTTTTTAACGGGAGATAGGGGTGATTTAGGGCTCACCAGAGCTGCCAGGATGCAGCATGGTGGATTTTGCAAATCTGTAAAATTTTGGGGTGTGACTGGGGTTTGGGGACAATGCCTTGGAGTGGGGGATAACCCAGGCAGGGGCTGCCAGTTTTGCCCACTGCCGCCACTGTCCCGTGCTGCCTGACAGCTAATTAGGGGAATTAATTTACTCTGGCTTCTGCGGTGTAAAAGGCATTATTTACTGGCTAATTGTCGTTATTACGAAATGCTAAAGATCATTATTTATTTTGCCACTTGCCTGTGGTGATGAATGAAGCACTGGGGAGCACTGGAGGCTCCCACCAGGTCACAGGGACACCCCAACACTGTGCAAAGACAGACCTGGCAGCTCACAGCAGTGGGGAGGGGAGAGGAGGAGGATGGGCAGCACGGGCAGAGGTTGGGGTGCCCCCCAGACCCCTCACCCACCCCACTGCTGCAGTGAGTGGATCCCAGTCTCAGCATCACCACCATGCCCAGGGCTCTGCATCGCAGAGGGCCCCGTTAAATCAGCACATCCTCTCTCGCCTTTGATGTTACAAATAATTCAGCAATTTCCCTGGGTTTCAGCTGACTTTTTTTTGCTTTGAATAGCCCCTGTACTTGCTCTTCCTTTTTTGCTGGAAAGATGGAGAATAATTAATTATCCGTGAAACGTTAAATGGTAAAAATGAACTCCTCTCCCCTTAGCAGTGTGGTAATAGAACGGATGGAAAAGCCTTGCTTGTGAGGTTCCAGAGAAGGTGAGACCTTTGGTGGGACACAAGTCACCATCCCCAGGGCTCTGTGGGTCCTCTCAAGTCATTGCTTTTGTTCTGCAGGTGACCCCAACCAGTGCTGAACCCAGGCATCAGGGAGGTCTGCACCCCCAAAGACCAAAAGCAGCTGCAGGACCTCAACTTGCCTTAGGGTGAATTTTTGGGGGGTCCCCCCAGCCCTGTGCCAAAGTCTCCATCATCCCTGCCATGTCCTCTTCACCTGGGTTTATGCTGACTGGAGGCAATGCTTGTGGCAGCAAAAAATCCACTTCCCTGAACAGCTGGTGTAGGTCAGGAGAGCTCAGTAAAAATGAAATATTCCCTGTATGGGCTGGGTGGATGGATGGGAAAACTCAGGGCTGGCAATGGCATGGGGAGGGGGAAATGGGGGCTTGGGGAATTAGCACAGGCTGTGGAGCTGAGACTCATGTGGCACTGGAAAAATGGGAAACAAGGAACTTTGGCCAAGGCTGGGCAAGGATCAGATGCAATTTGATAGGTGCTAGGCTGTACCCACTGCACCTTTTTCATCCACTGTACAGTGGGACAGAAGTATCCCAAAATCCCACCATCCATCTATGCTGGCCTCATTTTTCACCAAGCACAAACCAACAGTTAAAAAAGAATTAGGGAGCAATGCTGTTCCCCAGGGGGGCGAGGCAAACACAGCATCCTTCTCTCCCAGCTGCATCATTTTGGCTCCACGCACGCTCACCCCCATTTCCCTCCCCAGACCTCCCCATTCCCAATCCTCTGATGGCACCTGCAAAGAATTGTTTGTTTTCTGTCAAAAGCAACAGCGGCTGAAGGCAGCCCCTCATTAGCAGTCCAGGTACATGCCTGGGGATGCATCAGGCAGATTAAAATTATTTGAATATCATAATATTGGAAACTTCAATTTGGCCTCAAAATGCTCATCTTCCGAGCCCTACCAGGGCTTTGCTGCATTAAACATTGATGGCTCTACTGGCGGATCAAAGTTTTGGGTTTAGAGCTGAAAGTGCTTTGCAGAAGAGCCGGCAGCACCCCCGGGATGAGAAGGATCCCGACATCCCCGCTCCCAGCACAGCCGTGGGGCTGGTGGCACAAGGGGCAGTGCCACAGGGCTGGTGGCACGCAGCCCATGACGTGGGACTGGCTGCTGCTCTGCTCTCGGCTCCCCATGCCAAGCCATGCCATTCTTCATGGCAGAAATGATGCATGTCAGCAAAGCAGGACCCGGGATTAGAATGAACCCCCCGCCGGAGCGGGCTGCGTGGGCTGTGTGCGGCGGGGCTGGCCGGGCTGCGGGGGATCTGGCGAGGCGATGCCATCTGGGCTTTTGGAGGGATGGGGAGGGGGGTATTAAACAAAGAGTTGTTGTTTTTTTTAATATATTTTTAACACCCGCAAGAGCCGTCCATCAGCCAACACGGAGCTGCTCGGTGCCGGTGCCAACACCATCTGCCCATCGCAGGGCTGGCTGCCCTCCGGGACCCCGAGGCAGGGGGCTGGGGAGGGGCTGTTGGTACCCCACCATAAAGAACACCGAGCCCGCTCTGTGCTGTTCCAGGTGTCTCTGCTTGGAGGATGACGAGCCCAGCCCTAATTTGAGCTATTTAGGGATGTGGAAGAGGAGACCGGGGGAAGGGAGGTGGCTGTGCCGAGAGTGCTGAAGGGTGGGGAGGCAGGATATGGTGAGCACGTTTCCCACAGGGCTGGGTGGCTCCATTCCGAAGGGTTACCGGGATTCGGGGAGGAAGAGGGGGTTAGGCGATCCCCCTCCCCCAACCTTCATCGCCAGCTTTAGCTGGCGCCGCACTCGAAGAGTTACGGCGTGGGGGTGGGGTAGCAGGGAGGAGCCCCCCCCCCTCCCAGCCTGCGGGATTGGAGGGCGCCTCGCTCGGAGAGTTACGGCGATGGGTGGGTGGGGGAGGCCCCCCCCTTTCATCCCTGGAATTAGCGAGCGCCTCACTTGGAGCATTACGGCCGTCCCCCCGCCCTGTCCCTGGGATTGGCGAGCGCCGCGCTCGGAGCATTACGGCGGGGGGGGATTAGAGGGGGAGGCGGGCAGAGCCCCCCCCTCCCTCCCCACATCCCCGGCGCTGGGTGTGCGCTGCACTCGGAGCATTACGGCGAGGGGGGGCTGAGAGGGAGGCGGGCAGAGCCCCCCCGGCCCTTGGATTGGTGTGCGCCGCGCTCGGAGCATTACGGCCCCCCCCCTCCGCCGTCCCCGGTATCGGCGGGCGCCGCTCGGGGCGCCGCCGCCGCCGCCGCCGCAGCGGAGCTGTCCGCGGTGCTGACCGCCGCCGGCCATGGGCCCGCCGCCCGCGCTGCTCCTGCCGCTCCTCGCCGCGCTGCTCCTCGCCCCGGCACACGGTAAGCGCCGACCGACACCCCCGGTCATCCCCGCCGTGCACACCGACCACCCTTCGCTACCGGGTGGCCTCAACCCGCCTCCGTCGCCGTCAAACTTTGCCAACTCGTGCTCGCCCCCCGGTGCGGAGGGGACGCTCCCCCGTTTTCCCCCGGTGAACCGAGAATCCCCCCCCCCCCCTCCGTTATCCGCCCCTCCGGGGACGCGCACAGCGCTTTGCAGCCGGGCTGGTGCAACGCCGCCCCCGGCAGGCTCCGGCGGCAGCCCCGCTGCCGGTGTTACCGGCGGGGGGAGCATCGCTGCACCGGGGGCTTGGCAGGCACGGCGGACCCGCTCCCGCGGTCACCGAGCCCTTCGAGCCACCCTCGGGCTGGCTATGCCGTGAGCCGGTCCCTCCGTGCGGTCCCCACTGCCCCGTGGGTGACACGGGGGGCATTTGGTTTTTCCCCCTCTCTCCCCTGTTGGGGTGACCCCTCCGGCGACACGGGGGACACAGGAGTGGCGGGTGCTGTTTGCCAAGGAGAGCGGCCAACACCCAGCTCGGCTCCTTGTCTCTGCCACCCGTGGGGCACCGGCAGTCTCGATGCCTCGTGGCTCTGCTGCCCCAAAAATAGGCTTGGGGACCCTCCAAGGTGTGGGGTTGGGGTGCCCCGGAGCACTGTGGCCATGCACGGGGCGATGGGTGGGTCGTGCTCCAGCCCTGCTGGCCCCGGTGGGATGCGGGATGTGGGCACCGGCTGCAGGCAGCAGCCGTGCGGGGAGTTACATAAAGTCCCCATCTGGCAGCGGAGCCCAGGCGGGGAAGGGCGCCGTGGCCCTGTGCCCGCTGCTATTCCCAGCTCGCTCTGCCGCCTGGGGCTGCTGCCACAGCCTTCCTTCTTGGGAAAGAGAGCATGGAGACAGCAAGTGGGGCAATGCCATGGCATCCCCATCTCCTGCCCTGCTGGGGGGGCAGCAAAACTGGAATGGGGGGTCGGTATAGCTGGCTCTGTCCTGGGAGCAGGGTAGATTTCCCCCAAGGGAAGCTGGTGCTTACTGTGTCAGTTTAATGATTTCTAATGAGCAATTACCTCTAGTCAGTCCCCTAATTTCTGAATATCAATAAAGTTAATTAAACACTGCATGTGCATTTCCCAGAGTCTTAAATGTAGGGATGCCCTGGGAGGTGCTGAGCTTTTCCCAGGGCTGGGACCCATGGGGTCCTGTCCACCCTGTATCCCCTCACCATGTGCTGGGAGCAGCCTGTGTGGCTCGTGCCTCAACCCCTCCATCAGGCAGGGCTCCAGGGGTTCCACACAGCAGTGCCATGCTCAGTGTCACTGCGGCCTTGACTTGGCATCAATGGGCTGGTGCATGATGGGGATGAGCTGTGGGTCAGAGGGACATGGGGTCAGGGAGTCTTGGACCTCTCCTCCAGGTTGGGGAGCTTTATGCTGTGGTCTGAGAGGTGGCAGTGCAGGGTCTGATCCTGTCTGTCTCCTGCCCCAGCTGTGGGGCATCACCAGCCCCTGGTGTCCCTAGGGATTTTCCCCAGCAGAAAGTGGGGTCATGGCACTGGTGAAGCCACGGGGTACAGTGCCAGGCATAGCTCCATCCATCCTGCCCCGCTGCAGCCCTTCCTCCCAGCTCTCCAAAGCTATGGCAGGCCAGGCATTTTTTGTGAAGGTCATCTTAGCCACGCTGGAAGGAACTTCTTGTAATTTGGGGTGCTGGCAGCCTGTGGCATTAGGAAGCAGCACAGGCTGTGGCAGGGGGCACAGGGCCTGGTTGTGCCCCCATGAGCTGTGCCACAGCATCCAGCATCAGCCAGATGCACTGTGCCCATTGGGGTGATGCCTTTGGGGGACCCTGTGCCCCTGGGGATGTGAGTGCTGGCCGGGGTCTCAGTGTGAGGAGGGGGCTGGGGAGGGAGGCAGGAGCCTGCTCCGGTAATTAGCGGCGTGTGTGCTCGTGCCCTGCGTGCCTCGGAGGAGTTCGTCACTGCCACGCTGCCGTGCCGCCAGGCCAGGATTATCTGGATAATGCTCTTAAGGCAGGGAGAGGGAGGGCAGGGCTGTCCCGAGGGGATGTGG